CGGCCGGGGCCCAGCCACAGGCTGCTGGCTGGCCACGCGGCTGACTCGCTTCCCGGCGGCCCTGTGCCAGTCCTGCAGCCGGAGCCGGCCTGGCCTCGTGCCCCTGCCACTGGTGTTGGGGGCAGGTGGCCCAGGCGAGCTGCCAGGGGCGCCCCCCCCAGCCTGGCAGCATCTCGCCCTAGTCGGACCTTCGCCGGGTCCCTGCTTGCAGGGCTCTGGTGCGGTGCGTGCGGAGAGCGAAGGTCCCCACCCCGCCGACACGCGCTGTTCAGCCCGGTAGTAAATGAGGAAGCTGGGGTGGAGGGGGCGGGGGCGGCACTGCCTTTCCTGCCCGCAAGGCAGAAGCTTCTCTCCCTGGTCACTACAGAGCAGCGCGGCCTGGCCTTTCGTGCCCAGCCCCTGCACAGGCAGGCTGGAGGGCATGGGGGATGCCCGTCTCTGTGCCAGGAGGGTGCCATGAGCTGCTCTGCAATGCATGGTGCTGTGCAGAGGGCACTGCTGCTTGATGGACTTGCAGGGATGGGCAAGCAACACCCGGCCGAGGCAGGGCAGGGCAGGGCAGGGGGCTATGGACGCGGGAGCTGCAGCTGCTTTCCCGCCCGCCCTGGCCCTGCCCCGCTCGGATTGCCGGAGCCTTACGTAAGCCAGCGCTGGGCTGGGGATTAGAGCCGGTGACGTGAGCCCCCCTTCCCCGGAACGTGCCGCAGCTCCGGAGCCTGCAGTGTGTCTGTGTGCGCGTGCAAGGGGAGGGAGTCGGAGCATGGCCAGGCATCTGGCCAGCGTGGGCATGGGAGGTGCATGGGTGCCCCTGGCAGGTGCTCTGGGGCCAGCGTGTGCTGGGCCCTGGTTGCCCTGGATGTCTGCGCTGCCCGGCACCTGGCAGGGAGCTGTGCTGTCGACCCCCTGTGCCCCCAGGTGCTGGAGGTCCAGATTTCCCTTCCCTGCCTTGCTCTGTCCCAGCTGCTGCCTTCCCTGTGTGGCAGTGCCCTGGGCTGCGTGCCCGGGTTGCTATCCTTGCACCCGCAGCTTTGTGGCCTGGGCACTGGAGCAGCATCCGGCAGCCTCCTGGGGGATGGGGATGGGGAGGGGGCCAGAGGCCTGAGCAGGGGCTTGGACCTCCAGGCAGAGGGTCTCTGGGACTCGCATCCACTCTCTGTCCAGGGCTGGGCTGTGGGTGAGGGATTGGCTCCCGCTGGAGCATTGGCACTGTGCCCCATTTGCCCTCCCCTGGTGCTGACAGGCGTCTCTCCGCAGGGATCCGCTCCTGGGACATCGATGTGGCTGCCTGCAACCTCGACGAGCAGCTGAAGCTCTTTGTGTCCCGGCACTCGGCCACCTTCTCCAGCATCGTGAAAGGTGAGGCTGGCGCCTGCTCCGGGCATGGGGCCTGCAGCTGCGTCTCCCCTCTGGGAGGGTGCGGGGGACCACCCGGCCCCCTGGGATGCTGCTACCCCTGGCTGGGGCAGCCTGTTGGCAGTGGGGCTAGGGGAGGTGCCTCCTGGACCTCTGTGCGCGGTTGATGGCCCGGGTGGCATCCCGGCAGGGTCTGGGGGCCTGCGCTGGGCTCGGGCAGGGCAGCTCGGACTGCTGCCAGCACCCCAGGCAGACAGGCCTCGTTCCCGGGGCAGGATGGAGGCTCTCCAGACTCGAGCACGAGTCCTGCTGCTCTCTTCTCCACGGGACCGTGGCTCAGCTGCCCTGCCGGCCCCGGGCACAGACAGGAGAGAGGAAGGCTGTGCCGCAGCCCCTCCTTTGGCGCAGGGAGCGGACCCCCTTGCTCCGGCTGCGTTGGCCCAGCCTGGGCAAACATTTAGCCAGGGCCATAAAGCTGCCTTTGTGCTCAGCGGCGCTGCGCTCCTCGGCGCGCACAGATGCTCTCATTCATCTGCGCCCTGCTCTCTGGGAGCTCCCAGCCCCGGGGCTTTGGCCCAGCGACGCCTGGCTCGTGTCCGGCTCGTGATGCCTGCACCCCCCACCCCCCCCCACAGCGCCAGGCAGGAGCTCCCCTTGCTTTGAACCCCTGTGCTGGGGGGAGAAGCTCTTGGGGTCCCCCACAATGCTGGCTGGGGCTGTGGGCTTGTCACAGGGGCTCTGAGGCTCCTGCCTGGATAGGGACAGGCAAGGTTTTCTGATGCTGCAACCTGCAGACTGGGGCTGGGGCATGGCAAGAGTGATTTTTTGGGGGGTTCCTTGGGGGTTACGGTGCCCATGGACTTGGGTCTGCTGCCCTGGAGGCCCCTTCCAGTCCCTGCCCCCAACCCTGAGCCTGCAGCCTCCGCCAGGGAACAGGCCTGGCTTTGTGGCAGGCAGCTGCTGCCGGAGCCAGTTGCTGGGGGTGGGGGGAGGATGCAACCTCCTGCCCCAGCCTGGGGGCAGCTCGGCATGTGCTGTGGGGTGCGGAGCCCTGGAGCCCCTTGTGCAGCTGGGGACAGAGGGTCCTGTCGTCCCCAACCCCCCTCCTCCTCCCCAGCCTGCAAGCAGCTGCTCGACAAGGCTCAGGCACAGGCTGGTGAGGTCCTGTCCTGCCCCCTCCCCCCTCCACCCATGCTGCTGGATTTGGAGGCGTTTGCTCTGCGGGCGCCTGGGGGTGACCATCTGCACCCCTTGTGCTGCCTCCTCCCGCGGGCTTCCCTGCCCCGTGGGCTGGTCATCAAGCCCTCAGCTCCACGGGGCCAAGCTGTCATGCTCCTGGCAGCTGCTCTGCCCTCATGATGTGTGTGGGAGAGGGGTGTCCGGTTTCCCCCCGCCGCCCCAGCCATGTGACAAAGCAGGATCAGCACTGGGGGTGGCTGGAAGGGACAGGCAGGGTGGCCAGGCCCCTCCCAGGCTGGGTGGCGGACGTGGAGCTGCGCAGGGATGTGAGCGTGGGTCAGCGGTGGCTTTTGCTGAGCCTTGTGGGCAGGAGGGGGAGCGTGGCTGCCTTGCACAGCTGGGAAAACTGAGGCGGGCTGCAGCGGGCATCCCCTGCTGGATGCCCAGCCCCGCGAGGCACCCAGCATGGCTTTGCCTGTCCCTGTTGCCGGCGTCTGCCCGAGCACGTCTTGGTGCCGTCCGGAAGGTGGCTTCCTGCCGGCCTTGGCCTCATCCCTTCCGCCTTCCTGAGCTGCAGATGCATCCTCCTCCCCGGAGCCGGAAGCCCCTGGGCCGCGGGAGCGGAGATGGCTTCTCCAGGCGGCCCCGGGACATGTGGTCAGGCCCAAGGCTGCCTCTGATAGTTGCCCGCGGGCGAGAGGGGCAAGTCCCTGCTCCTGGGGGAGAAGGTGTGACCCTGCCAGGACACCTGGGTTCTCTACCACGGACCTGCTGCTTTGTCCCAGCTTCTCCGCCTCCCTTCTCCCATGGCAGGAAGGAAGCCAGGAGTCTCGGCCTCTGGCTCAGCAGATCTGCCGGCCCTGGCCGTAGTGTCTGGCTCGTGGCCCTGCTTCCTGCGTGGCGGGGGGCTGTGCTTGTCCCCACACATGTGCTGTGGCCGTGTCCGAAGGTGGGGGGGCAGCAGGCAGCTCTGGGGGCTGGATCCGTCCAGGTGCCTCCAAGGGGCCTGGCACTGCCTGCCTGGCCAGGGTGCAGCATCCTCATGCCTCTCCAGAGCTTGGGCAGCCCCAAGCCCAGAGCCCGCCGGGCTGGGGGCATGCTCTAAGTGCATCCTGGCTCAGGCAGGAGCTGCAGGGAGCTCCAGCTGGGATGTGGAGGGTGGGAGCCCCTTCCCTGCGGGCAGCACGGGTCTGGGGTCCCCTCCCTTCTCCGGGAGGGCTGGGCAGGGGCAGTGGGATCCTGATGCCACGGCCTTTCTCCCCGCAGGGCAACGGACCCTCCACCACCGCAGCGATGTCCTGGAGACCCTGGTGCTGCTCAACCCTTCGGACAAGTCCCTGTGTGACGAGGTGAGTGGGGGGCACGTCCCGGGGCTGCCAGCCTCTGCGGAGCACCCCTGGTTCATGTGGCCGGGGGGGCTCTGTTTGTGCCCTGCATGGGGGAGCAGACCCCCCTGGTGCGGGGGCCTGACCCTGACCCCCTCCCCTCCCTGCAGCTGCGAAACCTGGTCACGGACGTGTCCCAGCACAAGCTGCTGGTGTTCGCGGGCCCCTGCGTGGAGGACACCGGGGAGCTGATGCTGCAGACAGGCTGCTTCTCTCTGCAGGATTTCATCCAGATCTTCGCCGATAAAGAGGTGCCTGCCAGCCCCGGGGCCCAGTGTCTGGGGGGGTGCAGAAGGGGCTTTGCCCCCAGGGACCTGGGTTCAAATCCAGCTGGGGGAGGCCGGAGGTTCTGGCCTGGCCGTGTCCCCAGCGCTGCTCAGGAGGAAGGGGTGGGGGGGGGGGGGAGGGGGTCAGTCGCCGGCTGTCTGCTCACGTCGTCCTGTCTCCCCGCGGGGCCGTGGCGCGGAGCTGCAGCGCTCGCCGGCTCTCTGCTGTCTGATCTGCAGACGGAGGCGGGTTAGCCCCCGTGGGTGTGGCGCCCTCCGGCTGTGGCCGCCATTTCGAGGAGTTGCCAGGGTGGCTGCCTCCGTGCCCCAGCGGCTGCTTCTCTTCCCTGCCCCTGGGCACCAACTCCAAATCCAAGGGTCGCTGATGGAGCAGTTGCTGGGCTCAGGCCGCAGCGGTGCCCGCGGGGCGGGTGGGAGCAGGGAGCCGGCCCTGGCCGCCCCGAACTGGTGTCCCATGGTGGAGCTGGCTGCGGACAGGGTTGCTAGTGAGCAGAGCACGTGCCTGGGGGCGGTGCTGAGATGTCCAGGAGCCGCAGCTTGGCGTCCGAGTTCAGGGGTCTGCCGCTCCTTGAGCCCTGATGGTGCCTTGTGTCTCCTGCCAGGTGGGGGAGATCCTGAGCTCGGCCGACCCGTCCGCCAAAGCCCGCCTGACCATCAGCTGCCCGGACTTCGGGGAGTGGCAGGACTCGGGCCTGGAGCAGCACAACCTGCAGGACTTCATCGAGCTGCGGTTCAACCCCGGCTGCGTGCTGCCCGCCATGGAGGGCTTGCAGGAGTTTGTGGAGTACCTCTCCGAGTCGCTGGAGCCCCCGTCCCCCTTCGACCTGCTGGAGCCCCCCACCATGGTGGGCTTCCTCAAGCTCTCCAAGCCCTGCTGCTACATCTTCCCCGGTGGGCGAGGCGACTCGGCCTTCTTCGCCGTCAACGGCTTCAACGTGCTGGTCAACGGCGGCTCCAACCCCAAGTCGTCCTTCTGGAAGCTGGTGCGGCACCTGGACCGCGTGGACGCCATCCTGGTGACCCACGTGGGCACCGACAGCTTGCCCGGCGTCAACAGCCTGCTGCAGCGCAAGCTGGCCGAGCTGGAAGAGGACCCGTTGCAAGGCGTGCAGGCCGGCGAGGACTGGGTGAGGAACCTCATCTCCCCCGAGCTCGGCGTCGTCTTCCTCAACGCCTCCGAGAAGTTGAAGGAGGCGGAGGGCGACTCCCGGGTGCTGAAGAGCAGCGACGAGGCCAGCCTGGCCCTGCGGTCCCTGGAGCGGCTGGGCATCCAGCCTCACCCGCTGTGGCGGGATGGCAGCCCCAGGGTGGAGCCCACCGTGCTGTTCCAGAAGATGGGGGTGGGACGGCTGGACATGTATGTGCTGAACCCCACCAAGGGCAGCAAGGAGCTGGAGTTCCTGCTGCAGCACTGGTCCGGCAGCGGCTGCACCAGGGAGCAGGAGCTGCCCCTGCAGTGCCTGGCCTCCGTCTGCGTGCTGCTGGCGTGGCACCCGGCCAGCCCCGCCGAGAAGATCATCCGGGTGCTGTTCCCCGGCTGCGCCCCACAGAGCCGCATCCTGGAGGGGCTGGAGAAGGTGAAGCACCTGGAGTTCCTCAAGCGCCCGGTGGTCACCAAGAACGACCTGAAGGCCGCGGGCCAGCCCGAGCGGCCGCTCAAGCAGAAGCGGGCCGAGAGCAAGGAGAGCCTCAAATCGGCCTCCAGGCTGAGCCTCGTGGAGGCCGGCGCCCCCAAGGAGAGGACCCTCAAGGCCGAGAAGAAAGAGGTGAAGCCGGGGACCAAGGACAAGGCCAAGGGGCCGGGCGAGGCGGCCAAGCCCAACCTGGAGGAGCCCAGGGCCAAGCTGGACTCGTCGACCGAGAAGCTCAAGGTGGACGCACGGCCCAAGCCGAGCAAAGAGAAGGCGGCGCCCAAAAAGGAGCCGCCCGCCCGCGACACCCGGAAGGAGGAGAAGCGGCCCCCGAAGAAGGAGGACGGCGGCGCCGAGGCCAAGAAGGACACGAAGGGCCCGAAGAAGGAGCTGAAAGCGGAGCCGCCGCGGAAGGACGCCAAGGAGAGCAAGGTGGAGGGGAAGGCGGCACCCAAGCTGCCCTCCCGGAAGACCCCGGGGCCGGAGACCCGCAAGCTGGCGCCCAAGGTGGGCAGCCTCAGGAAGTCGACCCTCAAGAAGGAGCCGGACAAGCCCAAGGCCAAAGCGGTCAAGGAGGCCGGGGCGGATGGTGGGAGGCCGCCTACGCCTGAGGAGGCTGGCGCCTCGGAGGGCTCCAAGTCCTCCACCCCGGAGGCTGTGCCGGGGGAGGCAGGCGGTGGGGCTGCCCCCAGGGAGGAGTCCACGGATGAGGGCATCACCATGGCGGAGAGCGAGCTGGAGCCGTCGCCCCTGGAGAACGGGACCCCCGGGCACGGTGCCGGCACGCAGGCGTGCGCTGGGCCGGGCTGCATGGAGAACGGGCTGCCGGGTGAGGACGTGGACAGCCCCCAGCGCTTCCGGTACCTGGAGACCAGCCCGCTCAAGGGCATCGGGCCCCCCTCGCCCCTGCCCAAGACGCCCAAGAGCGACCGCAGCGTCAACTTCGACGTGACGCCCACGGGGCTCCTCAACCACTGCCCCGACGGGGCCGAGGAGCCGTGCGGCAGCTCCGAGGAGAAGACCCTGGAGATGATGTCCCCGGCCAGCTCGGGCCCGGCCAGCGCGGGCCACACGCCCTTCCACCAGTCCCCCGTGGAGGACGCCCTGGGCACGGGGGAGCCGGCGCCCGGCGCGCAGGACACGAGGCAGCTCGGAGCCTGGCGAGCGGGCGGCGCCGCGGTCGCATCCC